CACACACACACACACACACACACACACACACACACACACACACACACAAGAAGTGCACCTTGGGGAGTGGTGAGATAGTTTAGTTATCAAGAGCACTAGCTGCTCTTCCAGAGGACCCAAATCCAGTTCTCACCACCCATATGGAAACTCACAACCATCCATACCTCCAGTTCCAGGATATCTGACACCTTCATCTAGCCTTTGTAAGCAAAACAACCACACACTTTAAATAAAATAATAATTTAAACTTCTTAAAAGCAGTGCATTCATCTTTTCAAGAGAACCCACATTTGCTAACTACATATTTAGTGTCACGTACAGAACTACATGCTTGTATACACTGTTATGTAAGAATTGCTGCAATCCTAAGGAAAATGTCATTATCTATGTATGTAAAGAAATTCATCCAAAACTGCACTCAGTCCTAAATGGGATGTTCTCATCAAACCTCTTCTCCCTCTATCCCAACAGGAAGTGGGGCATATGCCTTTAATCCCAGCACTTGGGAGAAAGAGGCATTGATCTCTGTAAATTTGAGGTCAGGCTGGTCTACAAAGCAAGATCAAGGACAACTAGGACTGTCACACAATAAAACCCTGTTCCCTTCCAGATTCAAGGCTCTCTGTAGAGGAAGAGGTAGAAAGACTGGAAGAGCCAGAGGATTGATGCATGGATGAGCTCATAGCAGCTATGTCAAGCAAGATGGTTTCCTAGCACTGAGAAAGGAGGATGAAGACAGGCGTCCCACCCTAACCAAGAAATTATTTTCAGTTGATACTCACCTGTTGTGGAATATTACTTTAACTAGGCAAAGATGTATTACTTTTGTTTACACTGCATTTGTTTAATGATGTAAAGATGTGTTGCTTTGACTGCCTAATGCACCTGATTGGTGTAATAAAAAGCTGAATGGTCAATAGCTAGGCAGTACAGGGAGAGACAGAGCTCGCAGGCAGAGAAAATAAGTAGGAGAGGGCTCTAGGCCCTGGAGAACAAGAGAGAAGAAAGAGAACAAAGATAAAAGAGAGGGAGACACCTGAGGCCAGACAGGCAGACAGGGAGGACATACAGAATGAAAGAAAGGTAAAAAAAAAAAAAGAAAAAGCCCCAAGGCAAAACATAGATGAGGAGAAATGGGTTAATTTAAGCTATAAAAGTTAGTGGAAATTGAGCATCCAAACAAACCAGGCTGAAGGAGGAGGGAGGACCTTGAACTTCCCACAGGGCAGGGAACTCTGACTGCTCTTAGGACTGGAGAGGGAAGGAGAGGGAGAGTGGGGGGAGTGGGAGGGAAATGGGAGGTGGGGAGGAGATGGAAATTTTTAATAAATAAATAAATAAAAATAAAAAATGTTCCTTAATAAACTCTAACACTAATTCTCACTGGGAATAAAAAGTTAGTGGAACAAACATATCTTAAGGCTGAGCATTCATCACTAATAATAAGTCTCCATGTCTTGATAAGCCTTTATGGGAGCTGATGGGTCTGAGAAAGCGTATTACAGCCACTGGTAAAGGGGAAATCAGTTTTCCTCAATAGAGTGTCACTACATATATCATATCAACAACAATCCAGGGCAGGCCCTATGCTCAGGAATAGTTGGTCAACACAGAATGGACTCTGTGGTTTTGTTTATTTATCTGTTTTTGGGTTGGGGGGGTTGTTTCTTTGCTTTTGTGTATGTTGTGGTTTGAAAGAAAATGGTCTCCAAAGGGAGTGGCACTATTAGGAGATATGGCCTTGTTGAAGTAGGTGTGACCTTGTTGGAGGAATTATGTCACTGTGGGGGTAGACTGTGAGGTCTTTTAAGTTTCACTCCGTGTGACTATCAGTCAACTTCCTGTTGCCTCTGAGTCAAGAGAAAGGACTCTCAGCTCCAGCACCACATCTGCCTACACATTGGCATGCTCCCCACCACACTGATGAAGAACTGGTCCTCTGAAACTGTGAGACACCCCCAATTAAATGTGCTCCTTTATAAGAGTTGTTGTGGTCATGGTGTCTCCTCATAGCAATAAAAAAGCCCTAAGACAGTGTGTATGGGGGGCTTTTTGTTTGTTGTAGCTTTTTTCCTTTCTTCCTTCCTTTTCTCTTTTTGTTTTTTATTTTCTTTCTTTCTTTTTATCTTAATGGTCTTTTGATGGTTTTGATTTTCATTTCTGTGTTTTTTAAAGGAAAGAAAGACCATAAAGTTGAGTAGGAAGGGAGGATCTTGGAGGTGTTATGGGAGGAGAGAAACATTATCAAAATAAATTGTATGAAAATATTTTTTTTCAAAAAAAAAGGAAAAGAGCTAGATTGTAAGGATCATGTCTGCGAGTCAGGATTCTCGATCCAGGGACAATGGCCCTGAGGGGATGGAGCCCGAAGGCGTCATTGAGAGTCACTGGAATGAGATTGTGGATAGTTTTGATGACATGAATCTCTCAGAATCCCTCCTCCGTGGTATTTATGCCTATGGTTTTGAGAAACCCTCTGCCATCCAGCAGCGAGCCATTCTTCCTTGTATCAAGGGTTATGATGTGATTGCTCAAGCCCAGTCTGGGACTGGGAAAACAGCTACATTTGCCATATCAATTTTGCAACAGATTGAGTTAGATCTAAAGGTCACTCAGGCTTTGGTTCTGGCACCCACTCGTGAGCTGGCTCAGCAGATACAAAAAGTGGTCATGGCATTAGGAGACTACATGGGTGCCTCTTGTCATGCCTGTATTGGGGGCACCAGTGTGAGTGCTGAGGTGCAGAAACTGCAGATGGAGGCCCCCCATATCATTGTGGACACTCCTGGCCGAGTGTTTGATATGCTTAACCGGAGATATTTGTCGCCAAAATATATCAAGATGTTTGTACTGGATGAAGCAGATGAAATGTTAAGTCGTGTGTTCAAGGACCAGATCTATGATATATTCCAGAAGCTCAACAGTAACACACAGGTAGTTTTGTTGTCTGCTACAATGCTCTCTGATGTCCTTGAGGTGACCAAGAAGTTCATGAGAGACCCCATTCAGATTCTTGTCAAGAAGGAGGAGTTGACCCTGGAGGGTATCTGCCAATTCTACATCAATGTGGAACGAGAGGAGTGGAAGCTTGACACATTGTGTGACTTGTATGAAACCCTGACTATCACCCAGGCAGTAATCTTTATCAATACCAGAAGGAAGGTGGATTGGCTCACTGAGAAGATGCATGCCCAGGATTTCACCGTTTCTTCCATGCATGGCGATATGGACCAAAAGGAACGAGATGTGATCATGAGGGAGTTCCGGTCTGGTTCTAGCAGAGTATTAATTACCACTGACCTGTTGGCCAGAGGCATTGATGTGCAGCATGTCTCCCTAGTCATCAATTACGACCTTCCCACAAACAGGGAACACTACATCCACAGAATTGGCCGTGGCAGTCGCTTTGGCCCCAATGGTGTGGCCATTAACATGGTGACGGAAGAAGACAAGAGGACTCTGCGAGACATTGAGACATTCTACAACACTTCCATTGAAGAGATGCCCCTCAATGTTGCTGACCTCATTTGAGGGGCTGTCCTGCTACCTGGCCATAGCCAGGGTTCAGTCCTGGGGGGCTGAGGAACAGCTGGAGGGGGGAGGAGCCAAGGGATGGACATCTTGTTTTTGCTTTTTTTTTTGTTTTTTGGTTTTTTTCTTGTTTTGTTTTTTCCTCTCTCTTTGAATAAATGTCACTTTTTGAGGCAAAAAAAAAGGAAAAGAAAAGAAATTAATCTCAACCCCTCTTGCTAGTTATCAAGAGAGCAAGACTGGGGCCAGCCACACCCCATCTTCGCCCATGCAGTATGTTGATTACAGTTCAAGGTTCTTTCGAAAGTGGGCCACTAGTTAAAAACCTGAAAGGGTTGTAGAGTTGTGTATTGAAGAAGAAACTGCAATGCTCAGTCAAGGCTAAAGACATATAAATTTTAAATTACTCAGTGGGAAGACAAATAAATTTCCCTACAGTGAGGTTAAAAAAGTCCTTACAAGCTGCTCCAGTCAGTTTTAACCTTGGTAGGAAACATAGCATTCCCCAAGCATAGATGGTGAAGCCTCCAGGAGAACCGGGCCACTCTGCCACATTTTGGAACTAATTATTAAACTAAATCTCCTCCCACTGTGAACAAGTGTAAGAAAATAAATCAATACTCTGTAGCAAGATTTTTCCACCTCACTTCAATCATGGTCATCAGACAAGCAGAAGGCCTCTGTTGGGTAGGTTAGAAATTCTGAAAGTACGTTAATAGAAATACATTGGGAAACACTATTTAATATGTATGTCCCTTGGGGCTGGAAAATGGGTCAGTGGTTTAAAACACATGCTGCTCTTCCAGAGGATCCAAGTTCAGGTGCCTCATAAGCACCTGTAACTCCAACTCTGGTCTCCTTGGGCACCTGCATTCAAGTTCACATACCAACACACAGACATACATATAATTTGATATGATAAATCTAGGGTTTTGCAGACAGCAGGACTGCAAATGGCATCATTTATGCCAGCAAAGGAGAAGAAGCTCATGGAAGTTAAACTAAACTGCCTACCTTGAGACTGATGTGGGATTTTATCCCCCAGAGCACTGTGGGAACCTTTCTGAGAGTTTACTACCAGAATTACAAGAAATACATCAACATCTGGGAAGGCAACACTGTGGGGCTTAACATGGTGCTGGCAGCCTACCTGCTTCTCAGTTACTGAGTTCCTTACAAGGAACTTAAGCATGAATAGTGATGCAAGTACCACTGAAGGAGATCAGTACGGAGAGCACTGCACCCCTACGCAAAACCAGTTGCCCAGCTCCCATCCATGACAAATTTAATTATGGCTGAATCTTTATATTCTAACTGAGAACTAATGTCTGTTAAAAGGTGACTGGCTCAAAATAATAATAATAATAATAGCAATAATAGATCTTTTAAAATATATGACCTTGAGCCTGTCTTGATTACGTTTCTATTGTTATACTAAGACACCATGTCTGAGATGAATATAATGGATGGAGAATAAACATTTCAAATAGAGAAAACGACAGGTACAAAGGCTCAAGAATGTAAAGAGGCAGGTATCAATGGAGTGGTATTTTGTCTTTCTAAAGCATAGAGTTTGAGAAGGGAATGTAGAAAGATAAGGAGGGACCAGATAATCATATACTCTAAGGGTCCTTACCTGGATAAGGCAGACATAAAAAACACCAAGGGAGAAGGAGATAATTCATATTTTGGAATATTCTCTCTCGTGGAAGAATAGGAAATTGTGGTTTGAATGTGAAATGTCCTCCACAGGCTCATGTGTTTGAACACTTGGTCGCCTGATGTTGGCATTGTTTCTGGAGCTTGTAGAACCTTTACAGGAGAAATCCTGGCTGGCAGAAGATAGCCCAGGCTCACACTTTCAGTCTGCCCTCTGCTTTCTGAATGTGGGTTCAGTGTTGCCAGCTGCCTTATGCTCCTGACACTGTGCTTTTCTTGCACAATGTAGTATGTCTCTTCTTAAACTGCAAGCCAAAATAAGGCCCTCTTTCTTTGAGTCTTTTTTCCTGGTATCTTACCACATTTATGAGAAAATAATAACTGCAAGATGGCAGTATGATTCTGGAGAGATGCAGAATATTTGACAAGCCAGTGTTAGTCCAGTCTGGAGTCAATGAAGCTTGGACACACAATGGTGTTCCTTTGCTGTCAAACTCCATCTCTGCAAAAGATAAGTTCAACTCCTATTCTGCAATATGTATACTGTTGGCCTCACTTAGAGACAAGATCTTTACAGATCTAATCAAGTTGAAAACCATCGCAATAAGATACAGCTACAATGGTCTCTGAGCCAGTGTCTTGGAAGAAGAGGGAGTAGGATACAGGAACACAAAGAGAGACAACCATATTACAAGGGTAACGAGGAACATAAGGTGACACCTTGAAGGCAGGCTGAAGACTACCCAGGAGTGCCAGCACCACAAGAAACTATGGAAGTGGAACCTTCTGAGCAAGGAAGGCCCCAGAGCCAGGCTAGCTGCAGATGCAGACCTCCAGAACTGACTAAATGACTTCTATGATTTTAAGCCACAAGTTAGTGGTATTCTGTTACAACTGGCCCAGAAAATTAATTGCTAAGGACACAGGAAGTGAGTGGGCAGAGAAGAAGAATGTCCTGTAATTGATAAATAGGAACCTTAAGACTTAGAAGGGAGAGAGACTAGGTTTGGAGAAAGGATGGAGAGAACATGGTCCCCAGATTTTGAATGTTCTCCAATGTTTGAAGAAATGACTGTGGGTATTGAAGAGCTGTAGTCTGGGAAGAAAGTGCTCGCCTGGTCTGAAGGCAGAAAGAAGTAGGCTATAGGGCTCCACAGCACCCTAGAGAGGCAGTCATTGCAGGCAAACTGCGACTTGAGAGAGCCTGACGCCTGACTTTAGAGGAAGAGAAACCTGTACTCTTCGGTATCATTTGCTGTGCGATTCAGCAGCCAGGTGTTCCCCTTGGCTGTCCTTCAATCTGAGGGCTGATGGGCTTCAATTAAACCATGAAAATGTCATTTGATTCACTTCATGGCCCTCTTCATTTGTGTCACATGACCTGTGCCAATTCTATTCACCTATTATACATCCATAATTCTCCTTCAGTAGACTGCGCATGGGGCATCCCTGCATCAGTTTCATAGGGATCACGCTAGCACCACCTTTCAACATCCCATTAGCCTTCTGAATGAATTCTCTACCTGAGGCCCTCATTCACCTCATACTTTTCAAATCCATCTCCATGTGAAATCAAATGGAAGAAAACAACCTCTTTCCCCAAGACCTGGAAGAGATCTCTGGTTACTACCTTAGCTTCACCTTTGATTGCATTTTTTTCCTTGCATCCCTAAGCCTGTTATCCTGCTAATCAAAGTTCTCCAAATTTCATTCTTCTGCTCATGCTCTTTGCTTGCCTAAACTGACTGGTTCATTTGTGTTAAATATCATTCCTTATGGAGTCTACACAAAGTTCTAACCCTGTGCAAGCATCTGGACCTACTCCCACAGTGCGCGTTCCTAGCACATGTCTCTACAGGGTTGTGTTATGATTCTGCCCCCTCTAAATAGATTATATTTAAATGAGAGCAATTTCACTGCATAGCATCTCTAGCCTCGGCACTAGCAAAGTGACACATGGTAGGCCCTCAAGCTGTGACAAATGTATACAAAGCTATTTAAATTTTGCTGGAAATCTGCCTTCCAAGAGAGCAGCATTCCACATAAGCACCCTGGGATTTTCCTGTCGCAGTCATGTGATTTACGAGGTGTATGATTTATCAGGCTCCGTGTACCAGGTGTCACCTCTGTATTCAGCTTCGCTGATCAAGAAAATGAATTTGATCCTGGATCTCTGTCCTCCAGACAGCAACTTGCCGGGAGAAGTCGTTAATGCAGTAAATTATCTCCCCAGCTGTTAATAACACATACTGTCCTGTTTGCCGTCTTTTAGTTCAGCTGAGCATCAACTTGTGCTATGATATTTACATGAATATCTTTATTTCATCAGTACCATTGCCCATCTGTTTGGCTTGGGGTTGGGTTACCAAGCTGTGGCCAAAAATGGAGGCATGAGCCAGACCAAATGGTAACTTCCCGCCCTGGGTGAAGGGCAGCCAATTTCCTGCTCTGGCACTCCTGCTAACACTAAATGCTGCCTGGCAGGCAGTGGGCATGGGATTAGAGATGCCACCCTTAAGTAGAAGGCTAGAAATGAGAAGCCATTTGTCTTCTTAAAGGCAGAGTTTCTGCCACCAAAATTGACTAGAGAAAGGATGGTGATCTCCCTAGCTAAATCTCCAGTTGGCAACGCCGAATCTCACACATTAACCCTGTATTTTAAAACTTGCTAATATGAACCCACTGTGAGCCAGCAATGGCTCGCAAAGAATCCAAAATGCCTTAGTCTCTGAATTTGAATTCTTCTACTCTATAAGGCCAAGTGTATGTGTTTTTTTGTTTGTTTGGATGTTTTGGGTTTGGGAGGTTTGTTTGTTTGCTTTTTGGCAAATCAATAAAAACTAGAATAATATGAGAAGAGATGAACTCAGTTGAAAAAACACCTCTATCATAGGACCTTATAGGCAAGTCTGAGGGACATTTTCTTGATCAATGATTGATGTAGGAGGATCTAGCCCAGTATTAGTGGTGCCATCCCTGGGCAGATAGTCCTGAGTTGTTTTAAGAAAGTAGTCTGAGCAAGCGAACTCCTGCTTAGAGTTCTTGCCCTGACGTCCCCTCATGCTGGACTATAAACTGTAAGGTGAAATAAGTGCTGCACCGCAAGCAGAACTTGGTCATTGTTTTTATCACAGCAGGAGGAAGCACACTAGGATACCTACCAGCCTCTTACATGTGGATTGGAATGCTGTCCAAGAATAAAACAATAAGACTGAAGCCATAGACTTTGAGCTTAAGACCGGTATTTCATAAGTCTCCGAAGACCAGATCTGGAGAAAGAACTATCTAAATACGAAAAACAGTTCTTACATGGACTCCAAGACAGAAATGAGTTTGTTATACTTGAGGAAAAACAAGAGGTGGAGTGGGG